GGGCTCGAAATCAATTTCGCTAGATGGAGCATTTTCGCGGGCTACAATTCTTGGGCTGCAGCTAAATTTCGCGGGCTCGAAATCCATTTCGCGGGCTAGAAAAAATTCGCATGATAGAATTCATGAACAGAGATAAAATTTCGAGGGCTCGAAAATGAGTTCGCAGGCTTCATATTTTCGCAGGATATAAATAGCTGGAGTCAATTTGGTCAAAGCCCTAATTTTCCCCTCAACTCACAGTTTCTCTCTCCTGCCCCAAAAATCCCGCAGCTTCCATCTCTCTCAATTTCGATCGACCTCCTGCGCTCTCTCAACCACCGCAGACCTCACCTCCTTCTCCTCCGACCACCGCAGACCGGCGACCGGCGACCGGTGACCAAGCCCTTCAACAGTCGACGGCTCGATTTCTAGTCTCCGCGACCCTGTTCTTTCACGGCGGCGACGCGGACTGTTTCCCTCTCCGTACCAGCGCCGACGAGCTCGGTTCACGGCGTGCACCTCTCAGCCACCCCGTCGCGACCTCCATCTCCGACAACCGGCAATCGCTCTTCCAATCGGCAACGCGAGCTGCAATTTTCCACCGATCGACGCGGCGAACCCACAGCTTCAAACTCCGACCCAGCCGCACCTCCGCGCACTGTTCCGTCCACGGCGACCTGCTGCCTCCTTCACGGTAACTGAGCCCTTTCCAGCGACCGGTAGCTGAGTTCCGACGGCAACTCTGAACCTCCCTGCAACCGCGACCACCTCGAGCACCGACGGCGATTTTGGCTTTCCAGCGACCTATCTAAGCTGCTCGTCTCCGACTTTGCACCTCCCAGCTCAGCCGACGACGACTGGGTCTGGAACCTCTGGCGACGCACGACCAGCATCGAGATCTAATTTTTAGCGACCCAATATCCGGCTCTCATAGCCCCGAGCTCGGCTCTTCTCACGACCCCGAATTGTTTTGTGGTTGGTGAGAGGTTATTGTTGATATTTCGATTAATTGGGATGTTACTTTGATTGAATTTGGAGTCGATTGGGATTTGTAGTATTGGTGGACACGTCTTGCCGGACGTGTCAAATTCTTTGTTGTCGGACGGGTCGAATTTCTTGTTGCCGGTCATGTCAATTTTTGTACGATGCCTTGGTCGAATTGTTAAATGAAAGAGAGTTCTCGGAGTCGCTCGATATCCGGTTGTTTAACCGAAGAGCCGTCCATTGTAGAAAATTGTTTATTGGCCATGCCGAGGTTTATGGAGAATGTCACTTTTGGGCTCGAGGCCCGATTTTTGAACTTTCAAGTTTATTTACGTCTTCGTCGAGTATTCATGGATTCACGTCTCTCATTCCTCCAGGACGTAAACAAATGAGGCCTCTATTATGCTTTCAATGTTCAAACACCCGGGAAGTTCATAGAATTTTGCGTGCTCAATTTGTACACGTTCGGATGACCTCGGTTGGAGCTCGAAGGACATTATCGTTTTTATTCTCTCTTCCAACCGGACGAACACCTCGACACACGGTGGGACCCCACCGTGTTGAGTACGCGCTTTCTTTTCCCTTCTTTATTTTCTTTTTCTTTTTTTTTTTTCTATGTGCTATGTGTTTCTTTTTGTTTTCGTTTGTATAGTTCATTTATCTTGTCGAACGTTTGAGCTTATGTGATTACGTGCTCTTTCCTATGCTTTTTGGGTCAAACAATGAGGACATTGCTTTGTTTTAAGTGTGGGGGAGGGGTTTACGTGATTATGCATGCTTAAGTGTCGTTTTTCTTATTTTAGGTCTTTATTTTTCGTTTTGTGGACCGGTTTTATTTGAGTTTTTGTGTGTTTGTGTCATCTCTCCCGCATGAAACTTGATGTTTGTTCGAGAGTCGAGATAGCTAAGTGGTGAGTCGAGATTATTGATTGGTTTCACTATTAGCATTCATGCTTGATGTACTTGATGAATTTGACGGTTTCCTTAAATTGATTGATGGTTCGTTGACATTGGAACTCGCATGTGGATTAACGGAATTATTTCGTCTTTCGTTCGTTTTTGATTGGTTGTCTTGAGGCATGCTTTCCTTATGTTCGATTATCGTTGTAACGTGTTATCTATACACTTGTGGTACATTTCGTTTGATTTGTGATGATTATGTATTGTAATTGTGATGTATCCTTGTGTGCCTCTCCCTAAAAAAAAAAAAAGGAATAAAAAGTGAGTTCGCGAGGAAGTACGGATTAGGCTCCTCTTATTCCGAACCATTCGTGGATTGGGATAATGAGCCCGGGGAACCGGTTTAGGAGACTCGGGGAAACCTCTCGAGGTCAAACCTAGATCATCTCGTCCGGAAATTTCGTTTGGAAATAAAAGCTCACAAAATGAGTTCGTGGGAGTCGAAAGGATTAGGCTCCTCTTGGCTCGGTTAATCTTCTAGATAGATCGGGTCAACGAGCACGGGAAACCGGCCTAGGCGACTCGGAGACAAACCCCGAGGTTAAACCTAGGTAATAATCGTCCTAACGGCTCTCATTTGGAAAAAGTGGCTCATTTAATAAAAAAAATAAAAAAAAAAAAAAAAAAAAAAAAAAAAAAAAAGAAAAAAAAGAAGAAAATCGGGGAGTTGGCTTATTGATCTCGTGCTTATTATTTCATGTTTTGTAGATCATTTATGGTTTTTGCACGTATATGTGAATAAGGGGGTGTGACTCGAGCGATCATTTGTGGAATGACTTGGGACGGGTTTTTGTTTCGTTTGATTCATCATGTGGGGACCGTGTCTCGGATTGGATTTTGATTTTGGGATAACCGGATGATAATGAGAGTTTCATTTTGCATGTTCGTTAATTTTGGCCCGTTCGATATATCTCTTCGAACTACTTGTTGTTTTGTTTGCTTGAGGACAAGCAAAGAGTTAAGTGTGGGGGAGTTGTTTATTGTGTTTTTGTGCTTATTTTCATGTATTTTATGTGCTTTATTTTATAGTTTTTAGGCTCGTTTTAGTGTCGATCGGTCCATTTTATCGTGTTTTGTGTATTTTTATTATTGTATAGTGTTTTCGTATTTTTGCGCGTTTTCTCTTTTGTTTTGGTGTTTCGTAGGGCCGGAAGGAAGAAATAGTCATTTCGTGATGTGCCGTCCAAGCCGATCGAGTCGCCCGAGTCGCCCGAGCCGTTATCGAGTCATTACCGTGCCGAAAGTCTAGTTCGCCTAGCGAAGGTATTCGCCGCATAGCGAGTGTTCACAAGACTCATAGGGCCAGTCCGCATAGCGAATGAGTTCGCCGCCTAGCGAGTGTGCACAACTTCAAGACCAGTTCGCCTAGCGAACTAGTTCGCTACCTAGCGAGTGCTGAATTTTTAAATGTGTGTTTTAGTGTGTGTTTGTGGTGTAGCTATATAAAGACATTATGCTTTGTATTTTTTGGAACAACTCTCATTTCCCAACTTTTAAGTTGGGAAAATCCTCTCTATTTCTCTTTTTTCTTTTTTATGCTTGGGTTAGGAGCTCTATTACTCATATTTTCCGGTAAGTTTCCGGCGACATCATTTTATTTCAAGTTCCGAACTTTTCCATCCGGTGTTCTTCACGCATGCATTAGGAGAGTGGGTAATTAGTTTTAATCCTCATTACTTCGTATTTGCCCTCTTTTGCTTATGATGTGTTTCAAGGTGATTGTGGTTTTGCTTGTTGATCGGAGGAATGTTCGATTCTTGTAGCTCGTCGACGTGTGTTAGGGATTAGGTTGTGCTTATCTTGTTTAAAGATTGTGACTTTGTTTAAAAGTGTAGTCATTTAGTAGAAAGCTCGATTTAATGACCTAGGATCACTTGGCAATGTTGATGTCCCTCGGTTCTTTTTGTGTTTATTCGAGTGATAGAGACCCCGGTTGACCTAAAGCTCTCATCTTTGTTTTTAAGTTTTCACTTGCTTTTGATTCCAATTGCGAGTAGTGTTTAATTCAAACCCCTAATTTGCGAGTAGAATGTTTAGGACCTTTTTGGTTGTGTGACTTAGACGACTAGGTAGTGAACGAAGCTCCGAACAACCTTCCTTTGAGAACGACCCGAGTCGGGTACCTCGGTTACCACATGCCCAAAAATTCTACAAACATAAGGACTGTATATAAATAGACCGAGTAAGCGTTTAATTGAATAACGATACTAATCGAAAGAAGTGGCACCACAAGAAGCCAAAATTCTCTCCATTCCTTAAAAGATTGATATTTACTTTTATTTCTGTAAATTTCGGAAGCACCCAACAATTTCAGAATGCAGGCCTACAATAACCATCTTAGACAAATCTTAAGTGTTGTGGAAGGGGAAGACAATTCTTACATCAAAGTTCATGTGATCTCAATATAGAGATGGGGATAGTGTTGGTCCCTAGGTCCAGGAAATGCTTGCTACATCCCCAAAAGCCGTCACCTAAAATCGAAATTGTGTTTATGTCATCAGACACTTGCGAACTTGGACCTGGAAATAAATGCCAAAAACAAAACAGATGCTATGACGGTTTCAGTTTGACAACAAAATATAGATCAACAGCTTTGACTGACTGCATGTTACACTATTCTAACAGAAACTCCTATACCAACCGAGGCTTGCAGATGAAATTAACAATTTTCTAGCGCAAAAACGTAAAATACAAATGGGGAATACCTTTACAAAGTTAACAGCGGAAATGAAGATGCAGTGTTTGAGCCCCATTTAAATTGTGTGCCAAGAAGTTGACGACTGAAACTGCCACGCCTAATGTTGAGTCAAGTGCATTTTCTGGCAGGTCATCCGAACAGGTCTCCAGTTAGCCATATACAGAACCATCAGACAGTCGCCCCATAAATTTATCGGTTGATTGCTTCCTTATTCACGCTGGATCTTATTCCTGCGTATAAAGTCGTATGTCATGTACATAAGGAAGTCCAGGAATAAACTCTTCCCTGTTATTTCTTTCGTACATCCCACGTCTTCTTCTATATCATGATACGTTTTGTCCAATATCTTATACGTTATCTCGTCAAACTCGAAAGGAATTTCCCTCAACTTTTGAGCCCACATAGCGGTCCTGTATGGTAGCCCCTGTTTGCGTAAATTAGACAGCAACAAGTTAGTCGTAACTAAATCTGGGACAAAAGCCATCTTAAGCAGTCTCCCAGTCAAGATCATCGCACGATCAAGCATATCATGACACACGGCATTAATGAGAGTGTTGTAGGTAACTGTATCCGGGACTATTCCGGAGGAAATAAGCTCGTTGAACATCAAAACAGCCCGATTCATTCTCCGGCTTTTGGAGTAGCCATGAATCTTTATGTTGTAGGTGGTGACATCTAGGCCCCAGCCGCTCGACTGCAACGTGTTTGCCATATTCTCTGCGTTCAACATGTCGAAATTCCTGCAGTACCCGCTGATCAAAGTGTTGTACGTGATGATATCTGGGGTCAAACCATTTTTGTGCATTTCGAAATACGTGTCCATGGCCGATTTCATTTTGCCCTGTCTACAGAACCCCTTTATAATAATGTTGAAGGTGATGATATCCAGAAGCAAGCCCCTCTCCCTCATATCCATTTCTAGCTTCAGTACCTCGTCCATTTTTCCCTTGCTGCAAAACCCGGAAATTAAGGAGTTATAAGTGAAATTGTTGGGGACAAGCCCTTTGCTCGTCATTTTCAAGAACACATCATGCGCCTCCTCTACAAAACCCCCTTTACAGAGGCCATTGATGAAAGCAGAAAAGGCGACAGCATCAGGGGCCATCTCCATCATCTCCATTCCTTCCCACAGGCTCTGCGCCCCAGCTATGTCCCCTTTCTTGAAATATCCATCTAAAACCACTGTGAAAGCCACTTTGCTAACGGGATAACCCTTTTCTATCATCTGGTACATGAGAGTGTGGGCCTCTTGATTCCTTCCATTTCTAGATAAACCCAAAACAAGGGAAGTGCACGTAGAAGCTGATGGGTCTAGGCCAGCATTCACCATGATGTTATAGACTTCAAAAGCTTTGTCCTCTAACCCTGCTCTGCCATACGCAGCAATTAACGAGTTAAGTGCAATTACACTAAGAGGAATACCTCTCTCAAGCATGTTCTTTAATAATGCCAAAGCTTCATCCAATCTCCCTGCCCAACATAGTCCTCCGATCTTCATATCTGACAACGGACAGTCAGGAACCAACCCCATTACTGATAAGCTCCTTACAAAATTTTCTCCATCCTCTTGCTTTCCATACTTGTAATAACCCCCGGCTAAGATGTTGAAAGTCACACTATCGGGAGCAACGCCTTTCATCCTCATTTCATCGAAAAGCATACCTGCAAGGCCAATCTCTCTAGCCTTAACATAGCCATCCATCAAAGCATTATATATTTTGGTGTTCGGCACCACCCCCACTTCATGCATCCAATCACAGGTATTCCTGGCTTCTCTAATATTACCCTCCTTGCAAAAAGCATTGATGACGGTACTAAATGTAGCGGCACTCGGACAACAGCCACTTTCCACCATCAAATCCACCCAATCCATTGCATCCCAAGTCGACCCCCTGATACAATACGCATTTATCAAAATATTGTATGTATACACATTGGGTTTACACCCAAACTTTCTCATCACGTAGAATAGACTTTCTCCAATGCACACAGACCCTCTCCGGCAAAATCCAAGAATCATCATGTTATAGATATAAACTGTTGGGATGGGTCCTTTACAGATCATGTCTCTGAACAATTTCCACACACTACCACAATCACCATGCCTAAGCAGCACTTTTACTAAAACACAAAGTGCAGATTCACTCGGCCGACCACCTATTTTTCTCATCCTACCCAACACCTCCAGGGCACACGACGCCATCCCTACATCAGTAAAAGAACGCATTAGGGCATCAAGAATGAAAAAGTCCAACGCGTGCTCACAGTTCTCTCGCCACACGAGTTGGTAGCTTCTTTCAGCTCCAATTTCTTGAATCACCCAAGTGAGCACGTCTTGTGCTAAAAGCCTATATTCTCCGGACACTAATAAATGCACGGCGACATAACAGCGCTGAACGGCACAATCCGAATGATCGCGGAATACATATCTGAAAAACGCAAGTGCAAGCTGGTGGCTTCCGAGAGACCTCATGATCTCCACGAGGCTAAATGGGCAGAAATTGCTGGAAATTTTCCTAAAAATATAACCTTTTCCCTGTTTGATAATCCTCAAAATGGCAACGCTAAGTTTGTGCCTCTCATTTGAATTAATCACTGCGTTTGCAGCATTAATGGAGCTAGGCGAGAGTTGACCAAGAAAATCTAGTTCTGAAGCGTTGGGGAATGAACATAAGCTGTGAAAGCAAGCAACTCGAGCCGGCTGATGGAAAATCCCTAGATTTTTGCGCAGGGAGTTTGGAAAATGGATTAGAGTTGCAGAACTGATATGGAGAAAGTAAGAGCAGTGAAGACTGCGTACGGCAGCAGACATCCGGAGCTCGCCGGAGAATACGTCGGGAATGAGAGCCCCGCGAACGGCGCCTGTAAGGGTTTTAGTTATGGGCTTACAGCAGCATTGGGTCACTGTAAACTTTGGACCAGCGTTGTTTTTTATTTTTGGGCTTTGGCTTTAGGTGATTAGAATCTGGGGAAAAATATATACAGAACCCCTAGTTTAGAAATATTTACATAAATACAATTCCTAAGAAACATAATTAAAAGAGAATTAAGTATTAATTGAAAATTATGAGATTGTGATAATCATCAGATATGTTTCTCTCTCTCCATATATTGAAAGTCATCTACAAAAGCGAAATTGACGCAGAGAAAACGGTAAACATTGGACAGAAAAATAAATGAAAAACATGGCGATCGTGATTACCTATAATTCATGAAGAAAAATGCTATAAGTACATAAAGGTGTACATAATACTCACATAGAGTGTGGTCCACTTAACTTTTTATTTTTAATAGGACCCACTTAATGTGAGTGTTATGTACACATCTATGTACACTATTATTATGTAACAATCACTTGAAAAGTCCCACAAGTATGATATATCCTAGAGATAAATAAACATTATTAAGTAATAAAAATATGGGATGGGATTTTTTTTATAACAAAACTACGTACTGTGAAGATCACAAGTGCCTTAGATATGTTATGCTTGCCAACCAAACAACAATTTCATAAACTCAATTGATTTTCCATTGCAAATTAATTAATTGCTTGCAAACAACCAAGTAAGTAATCTAATCCCAAAAAGAAACAAATTATTCTGATGATGATATGATATGTTTCTCATTATTCATATCTAACATATACTAGTACAACACCCGTGTATTACACGGGTGTTTGTTAATTTTTTTTTAAAAATTTAAAATTAATAAGAAAAAGTAGTTTGAAAATTTAAATACCTTTTATAAGAATATATATATATATATATTATATATTTATTATGATATTTTTTATTTGTGCGACTTACTTGTGTTATATTATACTAATTTTTTAACTTACACTATATAACTACACTAAATATAAATATATCAATTGAGAAATAATTTTATTTTTCTAATGAATTTTAATAAATATTATTATTTTTTATTATTATAAAGATAAATATAATTTATTTATTTTATATATACAATATGGATGTCAAATCGAAGATCATCAAAAGATGATTAATTTGATATATTATATATGTAAAACCGATAAGAAATACAAAAGTTATCTACTTTTAAAATACATTTATAATTCAATAGCTTATTGAAGGAAGCAAATCAAAATTTAGGGATATATTAGTCACTTAGTGTCTCACTATGTAAAATTACAAATAATTAAAGGGTTATATTAGTAAAAGTGATATTAAAATACCTAAGTTAGCTAAATAATATTTATGGAATACCCGAACGTAGATTATTAATTATTAATATATTAATATTACTTGTCCAAACCTAATTACGAAGCATGATTTTTCGCCAAATAAGATTCCGAAGCACCAGAAGCAGCCACGTAGGCTCAGCGCATTCTGTAATTATATATAGGGAGGATATGACATTCCAATTACACGACTCTCCATCTACTTAGACATGATCAGCTGCCACTTTCAGTTCGAAAGGGAAGACAAATAAATTTAAGAGAAATTTCAACAGCTGGAACAAAAGGCAAAATTTTTGTTGGATGGAATTTCCTTTCCATGCCCTCCTTTCTTTCTTTTTTCTTTTTTTTTTTAAAAAAATTATTTTTTCTCAATTCATTTTCCATCTTATTTGCAGTTTTAGGCAATAGCCACATGAGTCGTCCCTGTCCTAACAAAGCTTTCTTGGTGTCGGACCCTTTAGCTGCATATTCCGAGTTCAGCTGTTTCCCTGATCTTGATCACTTTGAGGATGAAAGTTTCGACCTTTTTTTTGGTGGCTTCATCCATTTCGATCTGTTCTTGCCGACACTCTTGACTACAAAATGGTGTGTTCCCTCTGCAATACCATGTGCAATATATATATATATATATATAGGGGCGGATCAAATGAGGCCAGCTGTTAAAATGAAGTCAGCTCTTAGCAACTACATACAACTAACCTAGCTACTACTAACCTATCAACTACAAAGAACTAACCTAGCAACTACATAGAATTAACTTAGCAACTACAGAGAACTAACCTAGCAACTACATAGAACTAACCTAGGTACAACTAACCTAACAACTACAAAGAACTAACCTAGCAACTAAATAGAACTAACCTAGCAACTACAGAAAACTAACCTAGCAACTACAGAGAACTAACCTAATTGGAAGGTTAGTTGTCAACGGTCAACGTCGGAGTCAACGCCGGAAGTCAACGCTGGAAGTCAACGGTCAACGCCAGAAGTCAACGGGTCAAAATAATATTTAAATAATTAAAATAATCAAATAAAGAGTATATCTTGGCCACACATGATGTACCAAATCTTGGGGCTAAAAATGAGTCTCATGTCCTCACTTTAAGAATGTGGATGCATTGGAATCAATCAGTGGTGGCCAGTCAACGGGCCAAGGCCCGGTCCGCCCCGGCGGGCCCTCCAACACACGGCCCGCGACCAGCCCGCTAAAAACCCAGGGTCGGTTCTATGAACCGGCCCGAACCCGACGGCTCATGGGCAGTTCACGGGCCGGGACGGCCCTTAAAAAAAAAAATTTTAACATGTGGCCCGCCGTCCGACCCGGCCCGGCCTGGACCGGCGGGACCAAAATACAAAAAAGGAATCGGGACCAAACTGCGACCCTACGGGTACGGTTCAACGAACCGGCCCTTAGGGTTCCCAGTTCGGGCCGGGCCGGTGCAGGTTCGCGGGCTGGTTCGGCCCGTAGACATGTCTAGAATCAATCCCTATATATATATAATCAGGAACTCTTTTTTTTTTTTTTTTTTCTTCGGAACGACAGGATATTATACCTAAAAATAGAGAGAACAATGTTCTATACAAATGAGCAAACACAAAATAGCAATAGAAGAGCATAGCTTCCAAGCAACAGAATGATGAGCCTATCTCTAGCATTGATAACCAAAGGAACTAGAGTGAGGCTCATTCTCCCAAATCCAACCAAAGGATGGCAACAAAAATAGCTTACCACTGACCCAAGAGGGTCCTAGTGAGCTATCAAAAGACTACTAAAGCAGCAAAGAAAACTAGCAATTAACTAACTATCAAAGAAACAGAAACAAACTAGCAACAACCTAACTAGCTAAACTAGAGAATTCTACCCATTCTCTCACAGCTAAATTAACAGTGTCGATCTCTGATCTGAGGATGTTTTGGAAAACCCAGAGATTGCGGGTTTTCCAAATCCACCACAGCAAATATGTTGTGAGCTGGATTCGTTCATCATTAATGAGCTTGAGGGGTAGAGAGCAAATATATATCCCACCATTTTTTAAGGGTTTATTGCACTACGAAATCTGCGCGTTTTCTCCTCATATTTTAAAAATTGCGTCAGGCCCCCTTGTATTACATGTTTGCATGCACACGTGCCCTTTTCAGTTAACGTCGTTAGTTTAATGCTAACAACGTTACTTTTTCATTGAATTTCTCTTTATACCCTTACTTTAACATTGAATTTACCATTTCACCCTTAATGTCAATATATTGGCTTAAAAGTAAAATGGGTTTATTGCACGAAATCCCCCTGTATTATACGAAATCTGCGCGTTTTCTCCTCATATTTTAAAAATTGCGTCAGACCCCCTTGTATTTCATGTTTGCATGCACACGTGCCCTTTTCAGTTAATGTTGTTAGTTTAATGCTAACAGCGTTACTTTTTCATTGAATTTCTCTTTATACCCTTACTTTAACATTGAATTTACCATTTCACCCTTAATGTCAATATATTGGCTTAAAAGTAAAATCTCAATGGTGGGGATTGAATCCACCACCTTTGGGTTGGAAAAAGTAACTCTTACCAATTAAGCTACTAGTCATTTAGTTATGAATGTGATTTTATTTATATATATCACATCAGATAGCGAAAATTTTATATAGTTATTTATATAGATTCTAAATTATGAATAATATAATAATTGCTTATATAGATTCTATCTAATATAACAATTAAGTATATAGACTCTAAGTTATAAATAATATAATAATTAAGTTTATAGTTTATAAATTATGAATAACGTAATAATTAAGTAAATATTTTTTAAGTTATAAATAGTATAATAATTAAAGAAATAGATTATAAATTAAAACTAATATAATAATTAAATAGTATATTCTAAATTAAAAATAGTATAATAATTCGTTATATAGATTCTATATTATAAATAATAAATGATTAAATATATAGATTATAAATTCTGAATAATATAATAATTAAATAAATATATTTTAGAATAAATAATATATTGTTCATTAAATATATATTAAGTTAAAAATTTTATATTAATTAATAAATATATTATAAATTCTTAATAATATCATAATTAAATAAAAAAAATTTGAATTAGTGAATAGATAGATTCTAAATTATAAATCATATAATAATTGAATAAATTATATTCTAAAGTATAATAATAATTATAAATCATAAATAATATAGTAATTCAATATATAATAATTGAATGAATAGATTCTAAAATATAAATAATATAAATAATTAGGTAAATACATTCTAAGTTATAAATAAGATGAATAATTCTGTAAAAGTTTATATTTGTTCAGTTTAAAAAAAAATAAATAACAAAACTTATTTATATTATTTAAATATCATAACAAAGGATACTTGAATTTCAATTAATATTTTTTTCCATTATAAATATTATTTTTTAGTTATTATACATTTACCAAAATTTAAAAATAAATAGAATGAATAAATAATAAGTACTTAAATTATTTATTAAAAATTCATAAATAAAAAGTTTATTGAAATAAATTAAATTTATATATTTGTCAAACATTTTAAAAAATAAAATAATATAACAAATAAATAAATACAAATCATATACAACTATTGCATAGAAAATATATTATTTACAAATTACTATTTTCATATAATATTATATATATAAGTATCATTTTATTTTATTATAAATAAATTTAATTTAATTTAGTTTAATTTTATTTATTTTTATTATATTAATTCAATTTATAATACTGTATATTTTATATTTAATATTAAATATTATTTCATATTTAAATATTTTTTATTTTATTTATATCAAATTATAATTTTATTTCTATATTAAATAGAAATATATTTATTTAATATTTTCAAATTTTACATTTAATTTTATTCAATTTAAATATAATTAAATTATTTTGTGATTATTTTATTTTTCATCTTTTGTTTGTTAAGTTTTTTGTTGTTCGTGTTGTTTAAATAAATATGTGTTAGATTTGTAGCATAGAATGATGGTGGCCAAGTGGTTTGACGTCTTGTCTACTAATGTTTTGGCCCAAATTCGAATTCTAGGAGCAGCAAATCATTACTTTTTGCACAACAATTGGTAGAAAATGAAGAGGCAAAATAGTAAATTTTAAATTCAAAATAAATGAAAAAAATGAACAATTATTGCAGTGCATGAAAGTGTGCAGCACGCGCCGTCAAGTTGGACGGAGAGGGGGGAATCGTGCAACTATTAGTTAATACAAGGGGATCTGACGCAATTTTTAAAATATGAGGGGAAAACGCGAAGATTTCGTATAATACAGGGGGATTTCGTGCAATTAAACCATTTTTTAATGTATTGGTAATGAAACATTTACGTTTCAACAATAACAAAAAAAATATTCCTAAATCAAAAAAAAAAAAAAAATATGTGTAATATTACTTTATAAATATTTAATTTGAAAATGGCAAGATTAAACAAATTTGAACACATTATAAATCAAACTTAGGCTACGTTTGGTAAAACTAGCTGATAAGCTAGCTGATAGCTGATAAACTATCTTATAGCTTATATGTAATTTTCGAGTTTATAGCTTATGACTTATAGCTGAAAAGCTAGCTTATATGATAAAAGTATTTGGTAAAATTAGCTGATAAGCTAGCTAGAATAAAAAATTCAACTAGCTTATTTGAAAAGCTACCTAAACAAGCTTATCAAATAAGGTCGAGCTTTTTAAATAAGTTCGTCCTACCAAACGGGGCTTATTTGAATACAGGAAGTTTATAAACTAACCAAATAAGCTATAAGCTAGCTTATTTGGTTTACCCTTAGGGTGTGTTTGGTAAACCTAGCTGATAAGCTAGCTGATAACTTATAAGCTAGCTGGTAGCTGATAAGCTATAAGCTAGCTTATAGCTTATAGCTTATGATTTATAGCTGAAAAGCTAGCTTATATGATAAAAGTGTTTGGTAAAACTAGCCTATAAGCTAGCTGAAATAAAAAAGTCAACTAGCTTATTTTGAAACGCTACCTAAACAAGCTTATCAAATAAGCTCGAGCTTTTTAAATAAGCTCGTCCTACCAAACGGGGCTTATTTGATACAGAAAACTTATAAGCTAACCAAATAAGCTATAAGCTAGCTTATTATGCGTGTCAAACACACCCTTAATGGTCAAAGAAAGAGAACACATACTTAAATAGTTAAATTAAATATCTCTCTTCTAGAAGCAAATCAAATATTGCTTTTAAAAAGTTTGAGTTATATACAAAATAAAATAATCGTCATCCTCCATTCCATAAAGAAACTTTGTCTTCTTATTTTATCCTTAATAGGTTTTTTAAAGATAATTTTTTTCTCTTACACAAAGTCAGTCCTTGACTTCATAAGGTCCTGGGCAAAATGAGCTAAATCTTCTATTTTTTATTTTTTAAAAAAGTTCTTAAAAAAATCATAATGAACTAGCTATAATAAAAGCTGTGAAATTTACAACATACTTATAACTAAATTTCACATCTTAAAAATAACAAACGAAAAGGAGGGAGAAAATATGTTCTTACTTAAAAACAAAAAATACACGTTAAAATTCAAAACTTTCTCGTTAATTTAATATATATATATATAATTTCCGCTCAAATATCTAATATTAAATTAAAATTCATTAATGTTTTATCAAGAAAATAAAGATTATTTGTTTTGATACAAAAGAAAACTAAATAACGATAAATTAAAACTTGTCTAAAAATAAGTTTATTGCAATTGACTCTTCTAATGACTATTCATAACATTATTTGATCGTGTCTAACGAAATAAATATTTTGTATATTCAAGCAAGAAGATAAAAATTAGAAAACGAATGAAGAAAATATGAAAAAGTATGTAAAACATATTAAGTTTACTGCTAATAATTAATATTTTTTTTCATAAAATATGTCAAAGAAGAAAAAAAAAAACTAAATATATTTACTAAAGAATTAAGAAAAAAATTACTATTAAAAATATTTTTATATAATTGATATATATACTAATAATTAATAATATTGGGTCCTGGGGTAAGTTGGGGCCCTGTACGGTCGCCCGCTTGCCCTACCTCAGAGTCGGCCCAATAATTTTTGTTGTACTTATATATGATATATTTGATAAAACTAGCTGATGATAAGTTAGCTAATAGTTTATATAAGTGAATTTCGAGCTTATATATGATATGTTTGGTAAAACATCTAATAGTTAATATATGATATGTTTGGTAAAACTAGCTAATGATAAGTTAACTGATATCTTATAACTTATGACTGATAAGTTAGCTAATAGTTTATATAAGTGAACTAGTACAGAGCTCGTGCAATGCACGGGGTGCACAATTTTAAGGCCATTTATCCAGTCTTATAATTATAAAAATTAAAAATTTTACGGAATATTATAATACGTGACCTGTGCGAGGCACGGGATATATTTATTTGGGGATTATTATACTATAAGATGCAATATTCAACAAAAATTTTACAACACACGAAAATAAATATACACGATATGTGGAATAAATAAACCAAATTACAAATCTGAAAATATAATTTAAGAAAAAAATCTAAAATATATTTCACTAAATATGTACAAAAATATCTATATACATACACGAAAATAAAAAAATATACGTTTCAAATTTCGAAATTAAAACAAAAATTCAAATAATTTGGCTTACAGTTTTGTCATACAGAACCAACTCCAGATATGATTTGTATATGTTGCCCCAGTCTTGGAAAAATATTCTCACAATTCGAACTTTGAGCATAGGTCTACTGGACCTATTGACTTGTTTGATTAACCCAAATACTTGATTCATTGTTTTGATAAAAGACTGATTGAGGATATTTTTTGTTCGCAGGAGGATGATAGTAGAAAGATGATGGCTCGATATTTTGAGATTTGTAATTTATAATGAGTAAAGTAGACATATATTGTTGTTAATATTTTTATTAGATAATATGAATTATATACAGAAATCGGTTTGAACAAAATCAGAACTGATTTCTATACAGTTAGATAATAAATAAAGCCTTTTTTTATTTTAGTAAAGATTTTACGTACTTTTTTAACTTATCGGATGTTATGGGTTTTTTTTTTTTTTGTTAAACTGATTTTATGGGATATAATATAAATACAATTAGAGAATTGAACAAAATCAGAATAGATTTCCATACAATTAGATAACAAGAAGGAATTAGATACGGAAAAGGAGGAATTAAATAAAGAATTTTGAATTTGCCTTTTTTCAGTATAGATAGACTTTACGTACAAATTTTAACTTTACCGATTTTATGGGATTTGTTTTGACAAAATCGATGTTAATATGGAATAAGACAAATAAATAAAGCCTTTTTTATGGAATTTAAGACAAATAAATAAAATAATAAAATAAAATATTGGATAAGAAATAACAATGCATTAATTACGTTGACTTTTTAACCTACTAAATTTGGTAAATAGGATACCTTATTATATAAATATAGATTTTGATTGTTTTTGCTCACCCGATTTTATGGATTTTTTGTGTCAAGATAAGAAGCATTAAAAATTAGAAGTTCAGCATAAATTTAGAAGAAGTATTTTTTTATGGGATTTACGTACAAAATATTTTATGTTAAGATTTATAAGAAGGATTTTTTATGTCAGCATAAATTATAAATGCATTAATTACTACTTGATAAAATTAGAAGTTCATTAATTAAATTTGACTTTTCTATCTACTATATTTAGTAAATAAGATCCCCTTTAATATAAGTATAGATTTCGATCTTATAATTGATATCTTATGATTTACGACTGAAAAGTTAGCTGATATAATAAAACTTGCAACGAAGAAATTTAAAAAAAAATTCAAATAAGCTTATGAGATAAGCTTAAACTTTTTAAAAAATATCGTCATATCAAACATAGTTTATTTATACATAAAAAACTTATAAATTAATAAAAAAAAAAAACTATAAGTTAGTTTATGATGCTTACCGAACATAGTAATAACTAATAAAACTCAAAATTCTGTGTTTTTCTTGACTTAAAATATTGCTTTTTGTTTTTTATTTATCTAAAAAAAATGGTGGCTTTAAAATAGTCATATTTTAAATGAATTTCATTTTGAAAATTCCCGGTCCAACTTCAACAACTCCAGCTTCTCTCTTTCTAAACTAGAGCGCGTCTTTTCTTCTTCATTTTTTCTCCTCGTTTAGTTGCTTGTTTGCTAAGATACATCACAATTTCTCTGCGACATAAATTTTGAAGAAAAACCAGCTGTTTTATCTGTGATTGTAAGTTGAATTCTGAGCAAACGATATGGCGACAATGGAGAGTTTGATAGGGCTGGTGAACAGAATACAGAGGGCCTGCACCGACCTCGGAGACTACGGCGGAGACGACCTCGCTTTCTCTTCTCTTTGGGACGCTCTTCCCTCTGTCGCCGTCGTGGGTGGCCAGGTCAGTAGGTTACGCACTCCTTTTTCCCTTTTGTTGTTAGATGTTACTTATTTTCATAGGTATACGTATAATTATGTTTGTGATTTGACATGAAATCAGAGTTCGGGAAAGTCATCGGTGCTCGAAAGCATTGTAGGGCGAGATTTTCTTCCTCGAGGCTCTGGTTGGTCCTTTCTAATTTGATACTTACGCTGAATTTGAACGTACACAATTATTCATGAGTTGTTTTGGTCCTTTCTAGAAAGATGATATAAATCGTCTGGTATTTTAATGTTAGGCATTGTCACTAGGAGGCCGTTGGTGTTGCAGTTGCAGCAAACTGACCAAGGACAGCAGGATTATGCCATCTTCGGGCATTTGCCTCAGAGGCGGTTCACCGATTTTTGTAGGTGCAGAATTTGATATTTTTCTGTTAAGAAATGATTTGCTGTGATCTTACTTCTGATTTTTGTGGCTTGCTGTATTTCGTGAGCGGGGAGTCGGGACTGATTTGATTGGGACAAAGTTGCATCTAATTGCTATGATCGAAGATTGATAATTAATCTTGTAGTGTCAAACATATATCAAGTGTAACTTCAAAGTGTTGTACTGACAGAAGAAGATAATAATAATAAAAACTGAGAAATTAATCAATTATATAGAACTGCCCCTGCTTCTCTTCTTTCTATAGATAGTCCAGTTGTGTTTATAATATCACACGTGTCTTTTGATAATTCATAGTTTCAGAAAGTGGTTAGCTCAAAGGATAAGATTATGAATGGCTTCCATCTTATTTCTTATGCAGCCTTGGTACGCAAGGAAATTCAAGATGAAACTGATAGAGTTACGGGGAGAACAAAACAGATTTCTCCTGTTCCTATTCATCTAGGCATCTATTCACCAAATGGTATTTATTTATTCTAAATCCCCCAATTTTCATTTAAGCTAAAAGCCTTCATTAACTTGAGGATTCTTATTAATTGTTGAGAGTAAGTTATTGACATTTTTCACAGTTGTCAATTTAACTCTGATCGATCTTCCTGGTTTAACAAAAGTTGCTGTTGGTAAGTACAATTTTTTTTTTTCCTGAATCTGGTAAAAGTTTCAATTCAAAGAACTATGTATAATGCAAAGATATTCGATATTGCAGAGGGGCAATCAGAAAACATAGTCCAAGACATTGAAGATATGGTTCGTTTATACGTTGAGAAGGTAAAGCTAAACATCTTCCGTTTAAGCTCCCTATTATGTGTACATATTAGTACCCTCATTTTTCTATTCTGGAGTTATAATACATAAGTATTTAATAATTTACTCGTGTTCTACAATAATTGAAAGAAAGCTCGTGTTATTAGGCTAGCTTTTCAATTTTTTAACTGTGGGTGTTGGTTAAAGATTCTGTCTCACCTGCATGATTGGCTATTTGGGTTCACTTTTTGTTAATGATAGACTAGTAATGCTACATTATCCTCTTTCTCTCTCTCTCTCTCTCTCTACATTGATGATTTTTCCTGGCATTTACAGCCCAATTCCATCATACTGGCAATATCTCCAGCAAACCAAGATATTGCCACATCAGATGCCATTAAACTTGCCAAGGATGTGGATCCTTCAGGTATATCTACTTCCCATGTGAGAATTGAATTGTCGAAAATGTCATGCCGTATGAGTTGATCTTATCATTTTTGGTCATGCATAAAGGTGAACGAACATTTGGAGTGTTAACGAAACTGGATCTGATGGACAGAGGAACTAATGCACTTGATGTAAGCACCAATTACCTTGGACACCACACACACTACAATAACATGTTTGGATCGGACACGCTGGCTTATTATCTTCAGAATGTTACTCTTGGGGAAATATGTATATACATCTCTCTTTTTCAGATGTCTGAAATCTGAAAATAGATTCTTAAAAGTTGAAGTTTCAAACTATTTTCTGTATTCTGATATTCATAGTTGGTTTGTTCCTTGAACAATATTCATTTTTTACCTCCCTTTATTGATGTAGGATGATAGATGTAGGATGATACGTTGAGGCTTTGAGTTGTCTTTCTCTCCCTTGCATAACTTTACATTCGGACTCTTCTTCCTGCTGCATCCTGTTGTCCTTTTATTTTGACATGTGTACATCAGAAATATTTCAAATAATTATTTTTGTTGTCCGATATTCCAATAGGTTCTGGAAGGAAGATCGTATCGCTTACAACACCCCTGGGTGGGTATAGTCAATCGGTCACAAGCCGATATCAATAAGAATGTTGACATGATTGCTGCCAGGCAAAATGAGCGAGAGTATTTTTCTACTAGTCCTGACTATGCACACTTGGCAAGTAAAATGGGCTCTGAGTATCTTGCAAAGCTTCTCTCGGGGGTAAAATTATTTATCTTAATTGTAATTTGACTGTCTTAACAACGCTGCTTCAGTGAAGCTCCTAAGCTGAAAATCTGTGTTTCAGCATTTGGAAGCTGTGATTAGGGCAAAAATTCCAAATATTACTTCGTTGATTAACAAAAGCATTGATGAACTTGAATCTGAGCTCGACCACCTGGGAAGGCCTATTGCTGTTGATGCTGGGGTGTGTTTCTGATTTTCTTCGTTGTGATTATTTCATTGAAGTGTTTCAAGCTCGTCAGCAACTCGCTATATGTGTTTCAGGCTCAACTGTACACCATCTTGGAACTATGCCGTGCTTTCGACCGCATATTCAGAGAACATCTTGATGGAGGGTACGATGGTATTCCGCTGCTTTTCCACATGGTTCTTTGAGAACCAGTCTAAAAATTTTTGTGTCGTCTTTGATAAGAAGACTCGCACTTACATTTCTTTCTAATAGTCCATCCAAACTCGAGTCAAGTTGCACATTTATTGAAAAAAAAACGACATATGCATATGATGTCTTAACTAACAACTATGTGTATCAACTGTTTCAGCCGACCAGGAGGAGATCGGATTTATGAAGTTTTTGACCATCAGCTGCCAGCAGCTTTCAGAAAACTTCCAATCGACCGGAACCTTTCTCTACAGAGCGTGAGGAAAATTGTCACGGAAGCTGATGGTTACCAACCACACTTGATTGCTCCGGAGCAAGGTTATAGGCGTCTTATTGAGGGCTCCGTGACCTACTTTAAAGGACCTGCCGAAGCTACTGTCGACGCCGTAAGCAGCAAAGAAGGTTACTGAGTAGCCATTGTTGCATCCATGAATGATCAAACAAAAGTGTGCTCTTTTTTTTTTTTTTTTTTTCAGGTCCATTTTGTGCTCAAGGAGCTCGTGAGGATGTCAATTGGGGAGTGTCAGGTGAGCTTCTTATTTTCACAATTTTGGTTTCTAATTCCTTCATTTGCATGCTAAATCTCTGGGAGGCTAAACAGGAAATGAAACGTTTCCCTAGTCTACAAACAACAATAGCAGGAGCGGCAAATGAGGCTTTGGAAAGGTTTCGTGAGGAGAGCAAGAAAACAGTAACTAGATTGGTTGATATGGAATCTTCATATCTGACCGTTGATTTCTTCCGGAGGCTTCCACCGGAACTCGAGAGAACTGGAGGTGGCAGTCAAGAGGTAGGGAGAGCAGCAGAGAACACGAGAAGTAAATTACGTGGGAACTTGAGGGAACACTCACCACCAGCAGCAGACCCAACACCAACAGTTGATCGTTACTCAGAGGGGCACTTCAGGAGAATAGGGTTGAATGTGTCGTCTTATGTGCATATGATTTCTGATCAACTCAAGAACACAATACCCAAGGCGGTCGTCCACTGTCAAGTTAAGGAAGCCAAACAGAATTTGCTCAATTACTTCTATACGCAGATTGGGAAGAAAGAGGTACTCCCAGTCCCACTACTGCTGCTTTCTGTTTGCATATGATAAATAATCACCTACATACAACATCTCTTCTTTTTGCTTGGTTACAGAAGTAGTGCAAAGGAACAAAAAATTTTTCATCTAAAATTACAAAGTAGCAGTCCCTTTTTACCTCACAAATAACATCCTGAGGGTGCAATCTTTAAAATAGAAACAAACATTATTTGTAATTGAAATTTTTTGAACGCTGAAACTCAAGCTAACAAAGAAAAATATGTAAAGAGTCCTGTAATTAGGTTGTTTAATATTATAAATACGCGCAGGGCAAGCAAGTAGGAGAGTTATTGGATGAAGATCCGGCACTGATGGAGCAGAGGCAGCAGTATGCAAAAAGGCTTCAACTGTTCAAGAAAGCCAGGGATGAGGTTGACTCAGTAACATGGACCAGATGACGATGATGATCGACTGTGGGTATTTACTATTTAAAGGTGATGTTTTGCTTTGATTCAAGATTATACATATGTGTTGTAAATTTGAGAAGTAGTAGTATATGGTGGTCAATAGAACACTACTTTTTGGATCAAAATATTTTGTCTTAGCTGGAACTCATTTTATTGTATCATACTCTGCAATCTGCATAATCAAATGTGTTTGGGATTTGTCCTTTGTTTATTTCTTTTGGTAACATGTTCTTTTGTGAAGAGAATCAAATATCTGTGGAACTGCTCGCTCTATGCATGTGAACGTTGAACAGGAAAAAACAAACAAACAAACGAATCATAAAAGCTATCTATATAAATTTGTTCTAACTTCTAAGGCAGGATGCATCTGACATGAACAGAAGCAGGAAATAGACTGTTATTTGTGAAGGCAGAATAATAGTATAAAACATGATCTGAATCATACAAATAGAGAGAGAGAGAGAGAGAGAGAGAGAGAGAGAGAGAGAGAGAGAGAGAGAGAGAGAGAGAGAGAG